CCCCCCCCCAAACAGGAATTCGCTTGTCCCTGGTCTCGCAACTTCTTGATCAGGGAGTGGTGCTCCCAGCAAAGAGCGATTGTGTTTTGGACTCTTAAGAAAACAGTCTAATATTTAAAACATGTCTCTCACAATGTAATCCTCTGGGTTAGTAGGGCTCATTAATTAAAATCACGGTGGTACCCCAATGCAGCTGCAATTTAATAAAATTCTCGATGTGTTTATAGACGGTTTATTCTGACAGAGAATTGGAGAGTCCAAGCGTTACCCGGATAAGTTTTCGGTGATGTCAGTTTCGAGGAAATCATCGTCGTCCTGACCTCCGTGGCCAGCCTCCATTTCACGGCCTTGTTACCCACGAAAGATCGCCTTTGGAGGTCGAGGATCAATTTAAGCTCCCTGGAAGAATTCCCTTGGGAGATACTCCCGCAACTTATCAACCTCAAAAAGCTCGAACTGCGGATGAATGCATTGACCAGTTTGCCGCTACTTCAAAGTGCAAGTCTCGAATACTTCGTCATCAGGGACAATGAAATATCTCACGTCGAGGCTGGATGGTCTCACCCAACTCTCAGAGTTCTCAGCTTGAGTAAGTGCGAAAGCGTTTAATGTTCGACTAAAAAATTAATGACTTGGTACATATCGTCGAATATTTTTTTCGAGTTGGCAATGAGGATACATGTACTCCTTTTATAGTGAAAGACGCGCATGCGAATTGCGATGCAGATCCTCAAGGGCTCATATCTGCGACCGAATATTGAAACAGACTTTGAAATGACAATTTCGACGCAAATTCTTCCCAAAAGAGTTCCGAGCCCCCTAGGGGACATTAAGCAATAGAGCTTGTTTTTTAAAGCTAACATCAGACAAGTAACGTATCCTTTCAATTTGTGCTGCCCTTCGTAGGTTCACGCCTGACAAAGTCGATCACACCCTCTTCTCTGATGCGAAGCGTTTCCATGTAGAAACGTATTGGATCATCTAATATAACAAGCTCTCATGAAAAGGAATCAATAGTCCGTGATGATTTGTACTTGCCCACCGTGTGCAAGTCCTCGATGCACTTCGCAAAATCATTTGCACAAGATACTATTATGGACCCCTGCGTCTAAGATGCTTTAATGCATTTATTAATACAAGGTAAAATTGATCATCTTCCCCTTTTCGTGAATTAGTTTAGTAATATTATTTCATTTATTTTGCACTTCACCTGCATTTATAGAAAAAAATTTGGATTCATTGCTCCTTCTCCAGGTTGTAATCCTATCCCAGATGTCCCAGCTAGATTCTTCAGCGATATGGGAAAATTAGAGAAATTTTATTGTATCTCCTGTGCCCTCGGACCAACACTGTCGACCAAGTCTTTGGAATTCAGCAGCACAAACATGAATGTGATTGACATAAGCAACAACTCAATCTCAACTCTGGATATGGATGCGATCATAGGTATTATCGATTGTTTGAATTCGCATCGAGTGCTCATGGTGATTTCCATTCAAATTTCCACCGTGACAGTCATTGAGTGCAGCGCATGTGCAACGTCGCGTTCTTTCTTGTGCAAGATAGTTTCGTGTCTCCATTCCAGGTTTGCAGCACAAAACTTTTGTATTTATTTGGAGTAACGAAATTCGGGAATTGACGGAGGTATCCTTCCGTCCCATGCTGGAGGTGCTCTCACTGGGCACTGGGTACATCGATATAGGCGGTGAGATCCTTCTTGACCACAATGCTCAATGACGTAGTTTTTCAGCCCAACCCTTCTGTTTGTCTGTATTGCAGCTAACCCCGTGAAGTGTGACTGCAGCATAGCATGGGTAGTGCTCAATCCTTCCTTTTTGGGAAGCGTGTTGGGTGAATGCACGGATGGAACGGATTTTCAAGACTTGGATCCGATCATTTTTGAAGACTGCGCTAGGAGCAAGCCTACTTCTGTAGGTGACTATTCCACTTCGATCGAGTCCAGAATGAAGTAAATGGGGAAATATGGTGGAATGAATTTTTTTTTCCCTTGGAAAAAAAAAAACAATTTGTCTGGAATGTAGGGATAACAAATGAATTGTCCATGCTCTTTGGTTCATTGTAAATGATACTTTGCGAAGACGTGGCAAAGTACTAAACACTCCTGCGAACGACGATCTTGATTCGCCTCTTTGACTTTCTCTTCAATTCTTTTCAAAATTTCAACGTTTTCACCGGTTAATTTGGGAGACCCGTCTGTTATGACACTAGTCGAATTTTCCTGAGGCAACTTCAATCTTTCGATGCAGTTTCTCCAGTCTCATACAAATCAGGACGAAGGAAATGCAGTCCTGCTACTTGTCCTACCCTAGATTCCGAGAACCTCCGATTTAAGGGGTGGGGGTGGGTCACCTTTCCTGAATATTGCGCTATGGCGAAGGTGCTGTATAGATATCGCATTGCGCTTTCCCGCCCTTCTTTGCCCGTACTCTGACGGAACGAATATCTTTGAAATTCATTTCCCTATATTGGGTCTCTCTCATAGTATCGAGTGGAACGAACTTCAACTAGATTTTTTTTTCTACACCCCCCTTCGCTCTCCGTGTTCTGCATCCATCTCCTCGAGACATTGGCGTGGTCATGCCGTTTCCAAAAATTGCCATCGTGCGCATGAAAAAAGAAGTTTCAAAGGTAATTTGGCGCATGTCACTCCGATTCTCTTGCACCATTCTTCTATTTCATTCGTGCTTCTCGACGCACACAAATGAGATTAGAAAGGTGACTAATAATAAAATGAAAAAGCCGCATCACGGTGTCATACTCGGGGAGATGTGGGAACTCCGCCGCGTCGGAGCCCCGCGTTTCCCAGGAAGTCGGAGGACGATTAAGGCCATGCTGCAGTCGCACGCGATCGGGTTCTCTGGAATGAGGAAGGACGAGGAACGTGGGAGATGCAATAAGAAGATGTGACTGCTATCGGGCGTGATTGCGGAACTAGCGAACGTACTTTCTTGATCTATTACCTGAAGTCTGCTTCTTCCAAAAAACAGTTGGATAAAAAAAATGTTTGGACCGAAACGTAGTATTATGAAGCTTATGAAGTGTAGCTTCGTAGGGTTAGCTTGGGATAGGGATGGGTAGGAGTTTCCGTCGGGCTCTCGCTCGCGGCAGGTAACGGTAGGCGGAGGGATCTCCGTAGAGTGGGTCCCAGAGCGACTCGACCTCCGGCCATAGGGTCGGAGGACTCTCCCCTCTGTTTCCTCAATTCGTCGAGAGAATCACCTATGTACATGTCGGCTGGGGAGCCGGGAATGCACGACCTGAAACGGGTGAGTGCATTAAATGCGATTTCAAAAGAACATGAAGCAATTAATATTAGCAGGATGATGAAAGAGATATAAAATTATAATATTTAAGTTTTTATACTGCCGGAAGAAATTATATTAATGTATATGACGTCATACCTGGGACTGCATGCGATTCCGGGGTTCCGATGATGCTGTAATCTAAATACAGATTCTGGTAAATCTCACCATGGAGCTCAAATGGGTCGTTTGACTGAGTCGGTACCAAGCCGCATTTCGAAAAGGAAAATTCTTGCTGGGTCTCCACGTCCTCAAATAATCCGAGTTGAATCTCCGATATCGGATTAGAATCCGTCCAAGTCCATATGCACTATGGGAGCATGAAAAAAGCCTCAATTTCGCGGGCGTTAATATGTCACAATATGTCGGATTTCTCCCTGATTGCAAATTTCTTTAGCTGAGATACCGGTTGCTTCAAGTTAAGCGCCAACAACCTTACCTTCAGCGTGGAAATTTGATTCACGGCATAAAATACAAGATTTTTTAAATTATAAAATCACATCTCAAAAGATGAGAAGGTTTCTTTTTTTTGTTCAAAACATCATGTCTCAAAAAAATTAACGGCCAACGTTTCCTGGCAGCCATGGTCGACCACGGAATCTTATTCACCATTAAGGACTTGGGATGGCACGTATCAAAAATGTATCCGCAGTCGTCAGTATGGAGGAATCCCCCTGGTAGGGGGCTTTTTTCGCCTGAGAAACTAAGCATTCATTCCATATCACTCTCTTGTAGATTCATGTGACTATTTCTCAACTCCGGAACTATCAGGTGCGACTATTCACGTGCGATATGGAGAGAAATAAGGGACAGTCTGGTTATTAATATTCCATCCAGTCTTTCCTTCGCGCCGGTCCCAGGGCATTCGCCTTCTGTATGAATGAATACTCCACATTCCTCCTTCATCCTCCTTCTTTCCATTCCTGGGCAGAACATATGCGCGAGGCCGGTGACATCCTTTCTTGCACTTGCGCCGGAGCAGATGAGGGCAGTGGGAGGGTGGAGTGCTCCGATGCGACGCTCCGATTGTGAGCGAGACTGAGAAATGGGTTTTAAGGAAGACCGGTGAGCCTTGGATCACTTCGATGTTTCTTTTGCAGTGAACTGGACCTGTCCTCGCGGATGTGATGATCCGCACATTTTCGACATGGATAACATCTTGTGATAATGCGT